CCCAAAGACTTCATTCGTCCTCAACCTCAGTTTAACCTAAATCCTAAATCTCCATAGCTCAGAGCTCATATCTACGATTTCGAAGAAGTGAGAAGAAATGAGTTGGGATTTCAGGGCTCCAGGCTCTATGCATCCCTCGTATGGTAAGTTGGTTTAAATTTTTGCGATTTGGGCTATCTGTGGTGAATGGGTTAGAGGTCGTATAGAGATATTGTGGTTTGAATGTTGTGTTTTATAATCTGCGTGGAATAGTGGGAGAAGTATGAAAGATTTTGTCGAATATAGGTGGTCCTTTTGCATATTTCGAATATAGGTGGTCCTTTTCCATATTTCGAATATAGGTGGTCCTTCAAGCTAAGCATGTGCTGGCAATGTCTGCCTTTAATAAGATCAAAGTGTCTGCCTTTAAGGCAAAAGTGTTTGGTGGAAGGGTGTGAAAATGGTTGTTTAATAAAAACTTAGCCTTTTCTATAATGGGTTTAGGGTGAAAATAATTGAAAACTGTGTTTTGATTTTTGTGTAATGTGTGAATATTGTGTTTTGTGTTGTGTGTTACGTTTTAACTGAAAATAACTCATGTGTTTTATACCTGTAATATGTAGGTGATCCTGAATTATTTTCTATTTGAATGTACCATGGTGGTCAAATCTGTGGTAACTGTTATGCTTCTGGCAGTGTAGCTTGGTTTGATTATTGTGACAAGGATAGAATGTCAATGACTGAGATAGACAATATGGTAAGGGAGTTAGGCTATGATGGGGTGATTAGTTACTGGTATAGTATCCCTACCTATAGCAATGGTGGCCTAACAAAGCTTAATGATGATCAAGATGTCATAGACATGCTTGTATTTGTACCAGAGACTAGGCTAATAGACATCTTCCTACATCATGGGGTTGATAGTAGTGAGGGTTGGTTTTAGAGTCGATCAAGATCAAATCTGTTTGTTGATTTAGAAGTTGAAATTGTGCCTAACAGAGGAGTTGTGATTGAGGAGCTAGATGACAATTATGGGGCTATTGTTCCTATTGGTGGGAAATGCAAACAATGGAGACAACAGAAAAAAAACAAGTGTTGTGATAGAAGAGCTCAATGAAGAACCAAATGGGGAACAAAGTGGTGGGGGTACGCAAAATGCAAGGGCATCTTCTGCAAGACAGAGTGTTTCTGAAAAAGGCAAAGAAAAAGCAGTAGAGAGGGAATCTTCTGCAGTGCCAACAAACAAAGAAAAAGTCGTAGAGAGGGAATCTTCTGCAATGCAAACAGACAAAGAAAAAGCTGTTGAGAGGGAATCTTCTGCCCCTGTAGACAAAGGGAAAAGTAAAATCAGTTCT